TTATGTCGCGGTGAATGTGGTGAGTGTGTGCGGTGAGTGCGGTTGTGTGTGTGTTGCGTGTGTGTGTGCGTGTGTGCGGTGCGTACCGTGGTATTTGGCGCCGAGGATGGAGGGCTGCGGGGGAAAGTTCATGGGCTTCGCGAAGTTGGGCAGGCCGCCGTGCATGGCCGGCAGGGAGGGCATCGACGCCGACGAGGCGAACGCGAAGGGCGGGTACCCGAACGGCGCGATCGCCACCGGGATCCCACCACCGCCGCCTCCACCACCGCCGCCGCCGCCACCACCGGGGGGATGCTGGCCCACTCGCCTGCCCGAGACCTGGGGCGGCGGCATGTAGGTGGGCAGGTTGGGGGTGGACGAGCCGGCGAAGTAGACCGGCTTGGGCGGACCGCCCATGTTTCGTCCGGTCGCGGGGGACGGCGGCGGTGGCTGGGGAAACAGGCCCTGCTGCATCCCCTGCGGCTGAAGAAAAGACATATTTAGAGACAAATGTTAATAAAAATATATCCATTTCATGAATTTAATAAATGTCCTCTCCAAAAAGAATAAGAAATATATAATATATTTATTTATTATTTTATTTATTATATAATATTTATTTATTATTGTTATAAATAATAAATGCTAATAAGGAGTGTACTTACATTATTCGGGACTAGAAGATGTGTGAAGGCGGCGGGAGGTACCAGAGAAGGGAAGAGCGCACGCTGCGAGCCAGCGTGGCCACTACTATTATTAGTAATATTATTATTGACGTTGTTCCCGTTGCCAGTGCCGCCGTTGTTGTTATTGTTCTGTCGTGGCCGCGGTCGGCTCACATACTCTGCACCACACACACCACACACGCGCGCGCACGCACACACACAACACACACAGAGAGAGAGGCGGCAAACGTGAGCATGCTACGCATTCCAGCTCCATCGAGGAACGAAGAGAGAGCCACGTGTGCAGTACCTTGGGGCAAGTTGGAATTCGGCGTGGCGCCGCGAGCGCCCGACCGGGTGGGCGATCGCGGCGGTGAGAGGGCGCGCACGCCGGGCGGCAGCATCATCGGCTGGTGCTGGCCCTGGTGCTGGCTGCCCGGCGTGCCCTGGCGGACGGGCGACC